TATATATATTATATATGTGTGGCGTCGCCTGCATAAAAGAAAACGAATTAAGGAATTGCATTCAATTTCAATATGAATCTGATTCATATTTATTTTATACTAAATAAATATGTATATAAAAACCTTTCGCAGTCCTTTTGTCTGTTTCCGCTTTAGATGCTTTTTCTGCTGCGCCTCTTCTTCGACTTCTTATCTCTTTTATCTGATCCGTTGTATTTTGTTCATGCGTTTTCTATGCGCACGCTCAGGCGTTTGGTTGGCTTTCGGTGCCAGTCGCGGGCGCTCCGGCTGCTGCAATCAGACAAAGTTCTTTCTTATTAGCTCACGATTATAATTCGCTTTTTGAAGAGTTAACGGTAAATGACAACGACCCACATATACACATGTAAATATGTATATGTATGTTCACATGAATTTCAACAAGTAAGAAAGCTCCAGTCGAGGCTGCTCGACTACAAGATCCCCTGAACCATTTGACAAACTGATATTTCAATAATTCTAAGTTGTCTGCTTACACAAGAAACGGCATTTGCACCCGCACAGTCTACATTTAAAATTTGGAGGCTTTAGCTGTGAAGGTGTAGGAGATATAATTTTACAACTTTTTTTCGATACGGTTTTTAATCGATAACAAAATAACGAGAGTAGTCACCGATATTTTGAACTCAATATGCGCGTGATATACAGGGATCTGATCAAGAATATATACTTTATGAGGTCTGACACGCCTCTTTCTGCCTGATTGACTTTTTTCAATGGGCTCAGGGTATAAAAGCACAACAACACATTGATGTATATCTATACAAACATATTTTTTAGTTTCTCTTCATTTTAATTTTTTGTCTTACATGAAAATAATATATTACAAGCTGCGTTATTATCGATAGCTTGGTGACAGATATCGACTTTGAGCTACAGCTGTAAGTCTCACGAAATGTAAAAAAAAAAAAATGACTGAAAAAGAAAGGAACAACAAAACGATAGCTTGCGACGTGCGATGTGTCAATTAGATAAGAACGCAAAACGAAACTGAACGTCGCTCACGTCGCCCAGCAACAACAAGATGAAGACAAACAACAACATCAGCTTGAAAAGATAATTGTAAATGCAAAACGCTGCAGTTTCCAGCAAAAGCAAAACTTCGCTGCGAATAACAGTAATGCCCAAATGGCGAAGACTATTCAGCATTTTGATACGGTAAATAAAAACAAGATTTGTTTACCTTAACATGTGAATTCTTCAAAAACTGATGAAAAGAGAAATTTGTTCCTATCACACTGGTATATTTTGGCAAAAGGGGACGAACTTCTTCAAAGGCTTGCGCTCACTACGTAGTTAGACTAGTTAAACGGTAGACGGATCGATAGCAACGCTGTTGTTATCGGCGACGAGATTTTTACGGCACCACTTCAGCGTAAATTCTAATCTAAAAATAACAGAAACAGCGCATCAACATGACGACATTAACATTCAGCGATGAATCAGCGCAAAAATGCATGGTGGTTAAAAAAAAAATAAAATAAAATAACCGAAAGAAGAAAAAACCTAACAATAACCTGCTGCCAGCCGCAGCGACAATAAAGACAAGCATGTTTCTATCTGTGTGTGTATGTATGTGTGAGTGCGTGCATGTGTGTGTGTGCGAGTGTGTAGGTAAACAATTAGAGATGAACAGTAGAAAAGAAGCAGCAAACAGACAACAAAAAATGCTATTTAAATGACACTTTCAGTGGTGAAAAGCACATCACAGCACAGCACACACACATATGCATACATACAAACATTTAAAATGGAGTCGCGCCCCAGCAAACAGACAAATCTCAAGCAGTTGGGCACCAATGGCGCACAGCAACAGTAGAGCTGAAATTTTCTCTAGCTCGCTACCAAAATAAATGACAAAATTATGTTTGCTTGCTGCTGTTGTTAGTTTTGCTTTCTTCAAATAGAAGACAATGATTATGATGTCTATTATAATATGTATGTATAGCAGGTGCCTCTGCCTTCCTTGGCTTGCAGATATCTACATTCTTCTCAGCATTTGCTGCGCTTTCTTTTGATGTTGTCCAACACGCACCTATAACAACAAAAATTCATCTTTACATGTGCATGTGTGTGTGTGTACATATGTATATATGTATGCCTGTTTGTGTGGGTTTGTGACCTATGAAGCTGGGCCAGTTCTAACCTCAAAACTGGTCAAGCTTTTAAATTCACACTCATATATATGTATATCTATTCACATAGCTGCTTGTAATTGTTGTTTGCTTTCTTTGCCTACGTTGATTTATTAGTACTCCGCTCATGTCGTTTCGTTTACCGAAAAAAAGTAACGTTTACCGTTCGTTTTTGTTGCCTTTTCAAATGCACGTTCTAGTTTTGTTGCTGCCATCATTTGACAGGTGCGCAAGTGAGACGGTCGCAGGCTCGCATTCGCACTCGCGCACTGTCTCTGTTACTCCCTCAAAGCATACATATGTGTGGGTGTTTGTTGTATGCTTGCGTGTGAGAGCAACAGCTGATCGTGGTGGGAGTGCAGCGGGACGGCTTCTTGTTGTTGTTCCTGTTCTTGCTGCTAGTTCCGGCAGACGTACCACACAAATTTTTATACAATATTTGTATGTATTTCTATGTATGTATGTATGCATGTGTCGAATATGTTAATTTCTTGGGGCCTCTTTACAATTGCAAAGCAATGAGCGGCACGTTGCGTTGGCGGGCGCCAAAAAAAGACTTCCGTAAAACACAGCGCCGTCGCCACAAAGGTAACAGAGAGGAGAGGAAGAAGCCGCAAACACAAACAGTTGTTTCAACAAGAGTCAATAGCCATACTACAACAGCAACAACACAATGAAATGTACGGCTAATAAAACAATCTATGCAATTAATTTTGGAGTCAACGTCAACGTTGACGCCGATGTCGACTCCGCTGCTGCAGTCAATGGCCTCGGTGTCGAGGACGAGGCGACCTAACAGCATACACCGTTTTGTTTTTGTTGTTTTTTTTTTTTTCTTCTTTCTTTTTCAACCCGAACTATTGTAACGGCTAACTGTCTGGCTACAGTCTGTCTGTGAGAAAGAGAAGGATGAGGAGTATTTTTATGCCTACCTTGGCGGATTCGGGAGTCACAGTGTGGCCAGGCTGCTCCGCTGCTGCTGCTGCTTGCACTTGACGCTTGCTTCAATTTCCAGCTGAAAATGCACTGCGTTTAATTGGATTTCAATTTCACAAGAACAACAACTACGACAACAACACTGGAGACGACGACTACGACGACGACGACGTCATGATAAGTGGAAACAAGGCAACAAATTCATTTCAACTTTCTTTGTTTTTGTTTTTGAGAGCACACACACACAGATGCACTCACATTTACGCAATATCGAAAACAATTCGTTTTATACATTTCTTAGCAGCTTAAGCCAGGGCCATTTTGGCCATTTGGCAATTTTTCTTTTTTTTTTTTTTTTTTTTTTTGTGTTTTTTTTTTTTTTTTGGGTGTTTTATTTTTTTCAACTAGGTATTGTTTAATGATTTTCCTTTACTGTTTTTTCTTATTTCTCAGCCGCGCTTTGTTTGAGCGAACGTGTTCGCACGTCTGTCACATTACACACTATCAAAGCATTCAATTTGTGTAAATTTTTCTGCATTTACAACAACAAGAACCGCCAAAAATATCACAAATATGTTTTAAAATATTGTTAAGATTGCACTGAGGCAAAAAACTACAACGGAGACGACGACAGCGACATACGAAAAAATACAAGCGAGTCGTTTGCCCTGGCACTCATACACTCACGTATATCTACATATGTGTGTATATATATACACGCACGCACGTATGCATGCTGCAGTAGAGTTGTCTCTCTTACACTGTTGTTGGTTTTACAGCGAGCACATTGCTAGCCTGACTGTTTCAACGTTTTCACACCAACACATGTATGTCAGCGCGACGTATACGTACACGATAACGAAGCACACATAAAGCAAGACGAAAAAAGTTGCCACCACTACGGGCACTGTGGCCGGAGCAGTCTCTCTGGCTTTTTGTTACGCACAATTTTCACCATTTGGCACGCGCACGTTGCAAATTTATATAAAACCAGCTTTAACTTACTTTTTGCGCTTCTATTTATTGTATTTCTTTGCACTTTTACATAAATAATTGAATTTCTTTTATAAATTATTTTCTAGAATTAATCTTTCGAACACAACAACACCAACAACAGGCTCGACCAGAAGTTCCATTTGAGAACCATTTAAATAGTTGCGGAGCTATCGGTTCGTGGCTAGCGAACTAGATGGTGAACCTGTTTGTTTACACGATATTGATAAGGTTGTGTTTTTCATGCACGTAAATAAGTTTCTCGAATAGCAAATATTATATTTTTGTATTAATGACTCACTTCGAGTTGTTTCTGCAGCTGGTTTGAATTTTGTCAATTGGCTGCTGAATGTATCAAGTTGATATTAAAATCAAAGTCCGCACGATCAAAAATTGGTTCGCCTATTGTGATTATGCTTAAATAAAGAAATAAATAAATATAAGCAAAATCGACTGTTAAAAGGGCTGCTTTTATACAGTTTTGTGTTTCAATAGAATTTGAAATATATTTTCATGTTGTTCTTGCACAAAATGACGTCCCTGGTCACTAAATTGTGGCGGCCGGCCGATATATATATAAGCGCACAGCAGCAAGCTTTTGTATGTTTTTATAAGCCAAGACACACACCACATCAAAGATAATGCAACTCTTATTGTATTTGAATTCAATTTCTCTTAGTACATATAAACAAATGAATATGTATGCATGCACACATACAAATATAAACACATGTATGTAATATACGTATACGTAAGATATTAAGTTAGTACATATGATATAATAATTCCTTGATATGGTACATTTAATGGATGTTGCTATATTTAAATGATTACAAATCCAGCCTCCTCTGATTGGCTGAAGGAGAAAACAAAGAAAAGCAACGGGTCATTTGAATCAACAACAACACAAGAGTAAATGGTTACGATCTACGCTAAATTATACATACAAACACCCACACCTACAAAACTACTGGTATACACCCACTCGTACAAACACAAATACAAACACACACACACACACACACACACACACACACTAGGGGCAATTAATGATCTGGCGAATGGGAGGCCGACTTTGTGCCGATGGTCAAACGAACGAACAAAACACGAACTCACATCAGGTGTGAAGCAATAAAACAAAATGACGGCGCAGCGAACGATTTTTCGTTGTTGTTCGTTTCGTTGATTGTCTTTGCTTGCAAATGAGCTGAGTGCCAGAGCGGGATGGTGGCATGTATTGTCGGACGCTTCGCTTTGCTAAATATTTCCGCAACACATGTCGTACGGCTGGCGAGTGCGTGCGTGAGTGAGTGAGTGAGTGAGTGAGTGAGAGGGAGAGAGGGGCATTTTCTAACATTGGCGCTGCAAACGTCATCGTCTGCTCCAACGAACGCGCCATTTGGTTTCGTTTAGTCGCAGAGCAGAGGCTGAAGCTCTGCTGGCGGCGGCTTAGATCAAATAATTTGATTTCATGGCAAGTCGCAAAAATTGTCAAGCGGTCGTCGCATCCGCTGCTGCTGCTGATGTTGCTGCATTTTTCCGCGACCTTTTGGCGCTGCTCCAGTTTGATTGCAACAACAAAAGCAACACGAAAAAGAAGCAGCAAAATTAAAAAAAAAAAAAATAATAATAAAAAAAAAACAATTTTCATTTTGCCTTTTGGCTTTTCTATAAAAAAAAAAAAAAAATAAAAATATTTTTTAATTAATTCGATTTTGTATTTATTTTTTTGTTTTTTAATACATTTTTTCATACATTTTGCAGGCGCTCGTTTTGTTTATCAACAAAGGCGGCGCCTTTTGAAGTTCGCCGGCAAGAAAATTGCTTTGTCAGGGGGGAGGCGTGGCAGGGCATGGCATGGGGGAACTTGTTAGATGCTGCCATTAAATTGCTAGACACGATTCAATTTTCCGAAGTGGGGGGAGGTGTGCGAAGGGGTGAATGGGTGGCGGGGTAGGTGGGGAGGTGGAGAGGTGTGGAGTGTGGGGACTGCTGTGAGTATTATTTCCATTTTGATGCCTTTTATGACACTTCAGTTTTGTTTTTATATTTTGTTATTTGTTATTTTCTTGCTACCCTGTAGATATTGGTGACAGCTAAGTGGGGTATATGGATTTCTGATTGGAACAGTACTAAATGGGGCTACCTAATGGGAATGTTTATGTTTTATTGTGTTACTTTTCGATTCAGTATAATATCGATTTCAATATCTTTAGAAACTAAAGATATGAAATTCGAAGCAAATACTCTAGAAATTATATGATATTTCTATATTAAACCTATGTTTCTCAATGCTTCTATAGATTGTTTAAAAAAACGAATAATTTTAAGTTATTAATTAGTTTTTCAGGTTATAAATAAATATGGAAGTTTTGGTTTCGAAGAGTTATACCGAAATCAAGTTCGATCTCTAAATTTCTCTCTCTTTTTCTTTCAGGACGGCTGGAGCACTGCTTCCAGCTGGCTGTAGGGTACATTGCAGTCGGGGATACCCGAGGCGGCCACCGTTAAATGTTTTCATTTTGCTTTTTATCGCATAAAACGCTCATCTGGCAGGCGTCTTCGATCGCTTCGATCGTATCTAGTAGGTATTTATGATTTCGTTTATGCATTTTCGTGTTTTATTGTTTAAATTTTTGGTCATTTCGGCGTTCTTCTTCTTCTCTCCTTTTTGATTTGCTTTGTTTTTTATTCGTTTCGCCGGCGGCGTTTGAGTTGAAAAAAGTTAATTGAGTTGTAAAAATTATAAAGTTGTAAAAAACCCCAACGAGCCCTAGCAGGCTGCAGACGAAGAAATGTCGGGTAAAAGTCACATTCAGTTGAAGCCACGTAAAAAGGAGTGTGACAAAGAAAGAGAGAGATAGGGAGTGAGAGAGAGAGAGAGCGCAGTAATAAATAAAAGCCCAACATAAATACGCATCGATTCATTTTATGGCCATGAAATGAATAGCATCTAGTTTCGACCGAGTTATTCTTCACGTTTAAGATTTGTGATTTTACGATGTCGCATTCTATGGTCGCGTTTTCAACTATGTTGAACTCAGATTTAGAAATAGGAGTAAGAATAACAAAAAGCGTGGCTTATAATCTCTTGGATATAAGTTATTATCTGGTGTCAATCCAAATGAAATGGCGAAGGGATTGACTAAGGTTATATGTATTACTGAGCGAGCTCATATATTAATAAATGCACATAGAGTAGAAGTTTTTGGCTTGAATTCATCTATCATATGAAGTATAGATAAAGAATTGAATTTTAGGAATATTTTGTATTGCACTTGAATTACTCTTTTCCTTACTCAATTACTTGCATTTGATGATGATGATGATATCCTTTAGAAAGACCGTCAGAAGAGTTCCTAAGGTTCCGCTTATGGCTCAAGTTTACTTGCCTTGTCTGAGCCTTCAGTTCCTTGAAGAGGTGTAGTTATATTCGATATTCTTCCAATTTTACTGCATCTAACTAAACTCAGTTTAAAGTAGAATTGAGTCTCAGGTTTGGTCTATGCTGAGATTGAAGACTTGACTGATAGATGGACTATTTTTTTTCTTTATGTATCAGATACTTTTAATAATTTTATAATCAATATATAATGAGATAATCTTATTAAAAATATTATCTAATCAGCTCTTCTATAACAATTTATAGAAAATACCAAACAACAAATATAAAAAAAAAAAATTGATATATTTGGAAATACAAATAAATTTATAAAAAATGTTAAAGACATATAAAATATTTCTATATATATACTCATACAACATTTAATATACATTATTTACAAAAAAAAAAAAAAAATCTACTTTAAATGTACATGAATTAATTAATACCCAATAACTTCTAATTGAATATCTTAATTACATATTCAAGATTTTCATTCACTAAATATTATTTTCTCAGGGCTACCCGTTCTTAGGGTTTCTCCCATCCTTTTTTTAACGATCCTTTATCCATGTCGAACAGTTTTGTGGCTCTTATCGCCGAGCTGCCGCAAATACAGCTGCAACAAGTGGGCAACCCCGTCGCCCTGTCTGCTCCATCGGGCTCGCTCTTTGTCGAGGTGTCATAAATCCACATGTGGTTGTAAAGTGTCTACTAATTTCAGTACGTATCTTCCCACTCTCTCGCTCTCTCACTCCCTCTCTCTCTTCCCCTTCTCTCTCTCTCTCCATCTGGCTGTCTTGTTTCTTGCAACTGTCTCGGTGGATCTGTGGGGTTGGGGCCACCTAATTTCACATGAACATGTTAATGTTTACACGCGTACCGCGATTTTTATGTGCGCGCCCCCGCCGCGGATCGTCAGCCGGGGMAGACGAACGGACGGACGGACGAGTAGCCAACCAACGGCGTCTTGAGCTTATCTCCGATCGCCGAGCCCAA